ATTTTTTTTATTCTACCTCACGAGTGATATTTGAGGATTAATGAAGGCGAAGGAATAAAGTAGAGGATATCTTAGCATTAGCTAAGTATTTTAATAACTAAACCGATGCGTTTTTATGTTAGTTAATCACAGTGTTCTGAGCTTTGTGCTGGAGTTTTAGTCACTTTATCTCATTGAACTGATAATTTTTTGATAGATAATGTTCTTCCAACGTGATTGATTGAAAAGGTGACTTCTGCTTTGAAATGGCAACTATCTATTAAAATTATTTGGTAATGCCAATATAAATATTTATCAGAGTAGGGCATTCAGGGTTGTGAAAGAAGAGCGCAAACATATACGAGACGGTGACAGTCAGACGTACATTTTGCCATTTTCATTCATTCAAAATGTTGAATGGTTGAGACGCAAATGTCAATATTCTGTCCTTGAAATAGAATATTACGAGAAGATGTTCTAAATGGCAGGTGGTGCTCAGAATCAGTTCAGTATCACAAAGGGAGGGGACTTCCCCAGGGATCAGTGTTGGTCTCTAACCTGCTGTCCTGGTTTCGGCTGGGACAGAGTTAATTTTCTTTGCACTAGCTCGTGTGAGGCTGTGTTGGGGTTTGTGCTGAGGAGAAGCTGATCACACACTGATGGGCAGAGCTGCTGCCAGGACACTCAAGGACTTTCCAGCTTCTCTGCTGGGCCCGTGTCTGCAGGGGCAGGAGGAGCTGGGAGGGAGCACAGCCCCAGTGACCAGCCCAGGATTCGACCTTGGGTTTAGGATTGAGACCCAAACTGGCCAATGGTCTGTTCCATCCCATACCCAGCATGCCCAGTATAGAGATGAGGGTCATTCTGGAACTCCTATTCTTTCTGGGTCATCTTTCTCCAGGTGGTCCCTCTCTCAGGGTCATCTCACTCCCTCAGTCAGCTCTCGGTCTCAGACACTTGGGCTCTTACTTTTTTCTGGGATTTTTGTTTCGGGACTCCCCTTCTCCAGGATCGTTAAGGCTGAGCCTTGATCATCAGGTGGTGAGCAGTTTACTGTGTATCACTGATCATAGAATCATGAAGGTTGGACAAGACCTCAAGGATCATCAAGTCCAACCATTAACCC